GATTTCATTAGTAAACATTTACTCTGAAAAGCATATGTTGATGGTTCTGGTTGTACAACAGGGTTAGTTCAGCCTCACCTGCATCAAGTCCCATAATAATAAAGTAGTTTGCTCAGACTTGAGTTTGTTGTTGGAAGCAGATAAGAATTTTCTATAGGCAAACACACACTGGTATACATACTTAGAAATTGTCTCGATACAGTTCTTACTTTGGTGCATAATCAATACATAGAGTTCATTTTATTGATAACATCCTGTTTGATATGCAACAAACAGACACTTCTGAAATATCGGCTACCTTTGACGGAAATTGTCATTGAATTTTACAATATGCTGAATACTAAAGTATCATGTATGCAATACTTATGTATGGAGAAGCAAATTAAGTTCAGTAATTCACTGACAAACCCATAGCCAATTAAAAATACTAGATAAAAAAATTTCCATTGAAATTGTAATTGTTGTCTAAATATTCTACCCTGCTTATCTTACCCACATGAGTAGCACAAAGTCGAAAAATGATTCCACTTTTTTAATTCTGTTATTCTTATTTACTTCGAGGATTGTAAACTGAATTTGTTTGAAAATAGACTTGTGGATACTATGAAAAAAAATTCATGATTTTAAGAAAAAGATTGAGACATCATAAGGCTGCAAAGTTTGAAATTAGCAAAGAGACCCTTCAGTTCTGCATTCAATTTTTCTTTTTTTTTTTCTTGATTTATTGGGGCGAATTCGTTTTGACAAAATTCCTGCAGGCCAAAGATAGAGACAACTATTTTCTCATTTTTTCCCAGAATTCTCACACAACTTCTTCACAAACCCGTACCCAAGCAATTACTCTCATTTCAAACTCTCTAAAGGGAACGACTCACATATTCAGAGGATGGAGAAATACTATGCTCCAAACATGGTTCCACAATAAATGCATCTTGTGGCTGAGGGAGAAAAGTGATATAATAGTTTTTTTGTGGAGATAATATGAGAGTAGTTCTTGTGTTTGTGCACTTTGCCTTCTCTTATGATGTTTTTCGTATTTTGAGGCTCAAAAGAGATGTGCTGCAAATATTTGGTTGCAAGTAGTCCAAGAGAATTAAATATAATTGTGGTTTACTGACTTGTCGTTCCATGTTTGTGAAGTACTGAAATGAAGACTAATGGCCCTTGTTTTTTTAAAAAGTTTCCCACTGATGTCTGACGAGAAGATCAGGTACTTCAATATCATCATCGAGCGACAACTGACTTACTCGGTACGCCTGCCCTTCAACCTACTAACACTACATTCCACAACGAGTCAATTTTTACTGTATAACAATGGTGTGCGAAAACCTGTTGAAGCATTTTACATTTTCCAGTATAATTTCTGTAGCCATTACCACCTGATGTTTACCATCACGCAGCATGCTGCCACAAACAATTGAAGGACACTGCTATGAAGTAACCCTGAGAATGGTTGATAATCATCCAACACTTGCTGAGGGGTGGCAAATTTCCGTTTTGTCGGAGGACATTGAGGAGAAATTTATATTGGAGTTGAAGAGGAGCCAATTCCATTTTAAAGTAAAGTGACTGAACTGCTTTACAAAGAACACCACACTACCCTACCCATTTCAGTTGGAGATAAAAAAAAAAAACAAAAAAAAAAACACATTGAATGAGCATATTTGGTGAGTATCCGTCTCTCTTTCATATGTAAACTTTTCATAGCAATGACTTGTCTTTGAAAAAAAATTGAAAAACAACAACTACAAAGAAATTTGTTATGTGTATGCAGTCAATTCCAATTCAATTTTGGAGAGCCTACATCCAGGGGAACTATCACGACTATACTAAGGCGTTAAAGTCGACGTAGTTCATGGCCATGGTAAGAAGTCCTCCGAAACCATGGCACCAAGAGATTTGTAGGTGACAGTGCTAATGTGGAGGGGTCTGTATGCACCTTCATGCTCATTGGCGCGTACAAACCAATTGAACCAGTTGTTTTCAAGATAAAAATGTAAAGCTTTTTATCCGTCGCTTTTCAACGTGACTTTGGGATCTAATGTTGAACCAACCGACTTCTTTACATTGCGTATGACTGTTGGAAATTTTATCATTTGGATTTTTACGATTAATATTAAGTAATTTCAATCGACTTTTAGAAATGCGGCTTTCTACGGGATATAGTAGAATCGACGAAATAAGCTCCGCGATTTCAGTAAAGCGGTCAAGGCATGTATGTGGTCTTATGAAGCAAGCAATGTTTGGATGAGATTTGACACATTTTAAACTATAATTTTTTTAGGCAACAAAAAACAATAAATATTTGAGAAGTATCGCAAACAAGAAAATTGTTTACCCAAAACTATGAGTGAAGACTATAAGTTATCGATTATGGGAGGAGCAAATATATGGATGAGATTTAACACGCTTTTGGCATAAATGGAATTAGATTGTATTTCTTGCAGCTTATGTCTACAATTTTTCGTACACTGTATTTTTAAACAATTTATGTTTTTTTCACATATATGGAAACATTTTCTTGAGTAAAATTGACGTGATTTATTATGGACTCTAAGTTTACTATGATTGTTGGATATTTTATCATGTTGTCGGACTCCTACCTTTATTATGGATTTATTTCAAGTAATTTTATTTTTAGAAAAATTGTCAAATGTATGCATATGTGTTGTTCAAGTCGGGCAAATATATCGATAAGGTTAGACATAATTGAAGTTGCATTTTTCTGGGGCCGACAAAAAACCAATAAATATTTTACAATACAAGACTAAATTCGGGCCGGCTGTGCGTGCACAGCCAAGAGCCCAC